AAATTGCCAATGCATGTACATATACGTACTATGTGAGGTCTATAATACCCCCCCCCCCCCCCCACACACACACACCACCACCACCAGCACCACCACCACCAGCACCAGTATGCAACTGCAGTCTACAGAGTATATGAGAGCAGTATTTTGATATTGAATTACAGCAGCACTAGAAGAACAGTGTCCGCCTGATCCTACCCGGGCATGACAAACCCTTGCATGCTGCCTGCACCGTGTGCATTGTCGTCACGGGTTAGCCGTGAACGAACTGCCTCTACGCTCCTCTCCACGCCACACAACAAAGGACCAGTACACATTGTTAGAGAGGTTTTCTTCTACTTCATTTCAGTAGGCGACTGGGGAACTCATAAAGAAGAACCGACACTGACAACGAACGTCTGACACTGAGACAAGACGAGACAACAGAATATATTATAGTGAAGGCGTACAACGGGGACACGACGAGCAAGTGTGTACCAACGGGGACAGAAGACGGTGCAGCCGCATTTACGCAGGAGTCAAAAACAGCGCAGCAGCATGTACCACGACTCAGCAGCATGTACAACAAAGAGACACAAAAGCAGCCACGTGTACGACAAAGAGCTACAAGTGCAACCGCATGTACAACGAAGAGACACAAGCGCAGCCACATGTACAACAGCATGGTCACGCGGCTTGGAAGTTTGGATAAAAGTTTGGATGGGAATCTTTGTGTTTGCATTGTTTGCCAGCATAACCCATTGAGCTATGCCGTGTAATGTTAAACTCTTCCATTACATTATTGGATAGAGAATGTGCAGCCAATCGCACGCTCTTGGGGTTTATGCACTCTTGCTGATATACACCAGCCTCGCTAATGTCTTCTATTGGCCGTGCCTTGTGTAAATCAGGACTTTTTTTACCTTCCCGTGATAAGTACACTCGCATCTCTCTTATCTGGGCAGTCTGGGACTGAGCACCACCTACAACTTGGAAATATCCGTAACTCACAATCATGTACATTTTGATGGGGAAGGGCCGGAGACCTGGCATATGACGTCACTATTTCCGCATAAAGGCAGTGATATTTCCACTGAAACTCACCCACAGGGTGCTAGGTAGACAGAGGTGCCCGTAACTTCGAGGTCCGGATGAGAGAGATGAGTGTATGCCTGATAATTATGGAACTTGTTTGTTTGCAGGCTTACTGCCTTTGTGGCAAAGAGTTTCTGTGCAGTGGATGCCAGTATGCGACAAGACATTCCTATTGATGATACAGTTATTGAAAAGGCCTTGTTGTGGCTTAAGTCACACAGAACACACGCGGGTGGCTTCTATGAAGCAGGAGATGTCATCGATGAGTGTATCATGGTAAGGTTTCTTGCAGCACAGCTAATGCAGGCTTGCTAGTTGTACGCATGTATCACAATCTTCCATTGAAGGAGAAGTGCATCGATTTTTCTAGTAGGATTCAGTTGAAAGACAATTTTAGATCTGTTCGAATGGCATATCTCTTGCTTGCATACGATAAAGACAAACTTGCCAAATCGCCAATTGTATGATACACGTTGCCGTAGCGGCTACATTGATGTGGGGATTGTGCTGTATCTTTCTGTTTCCAATCTAAACATGATGAAGGGTGGTGCTGGAGGATATCGATCACCAGAATTCATCAACTATCAGCTGACAGCTTATGTTGCCATAGCAATGTTTGAATGCAGTGAACGATTTCCTATGGTGAGTTACCATTAATCTGCACCCCACAACTCGCATGCGCACGCTTGACATCGCGCACTCAAAGTTTAGCACTGACTTGCATTATTATGCATCCACAAAAAAGGCTGCAGAAAACAAGGGTGCATAGACTCGGGTGGAGAGCCAAGGATTAATTTATTAGAAGAAAAGAGGACCAAAGAGCTACAAGTTACGCTGTAATACATGTATCCACTAAGAGTTGGACACTCTCGTGTTGTGTACTCTTGATCGTAGTAATAGTATGTAGTCCTGTAGTCTGTGTCCGTGACTCGCATGTTCAACTGTTCAACTTTGTGCTGTTCCTTGTACAGGTGAGGGAGGCAGCTCAGGAGGCTGCCACCCACTTAACTAACAGATATTCCAAGCTGATCAATACCTACGACTTGGCCTTGGCATCATATGCTTTGTCATTGGCTGGGCAAAGAGTAATTGACCCTGGTGTAATACTTTCAAAGCTTGACTCGTTTTCCACAGGTAATATCACCATCAACTGAATCTATACATGTATCCCAGGGTTCTAGCCAAAGAGGATGGGATGGGGGGGGGGGGGGTACTCCGATGCCCCACTCTGATAGCGCACCACCCTACTCATATTTCCGATTGTTGTGCATTTTCAGTTCATACAACGAACATGCGGCCTCAAATAGACCGTCTCGGGTGCGGCTCATGCATTTGTGGACAAGGCAATAGTGGAACATGGAAAAAATGGGTGCTCCTCCCCCTACAACTTTTCTCTGGCTAGAACCATGTATCCGATATGTATAACCTTGGTACTATAAACAGTAGGCGTGGAGGCAAAAAGCCTACTATCGATGAAAGTGAAGTGAGCACACTCATACCACGAGAACAATGGAACAACATTTTAAGATTGAACGTCACTTTCATGTGATTATCATCAGAAATCATCATCGCACTGAGTGTTGGACTACAAAGGAAAGATAGGTACTATAGTTTGGGAAGATAATGCTCTAGCGGTTGATTATCTGACAGTTCCTCCAGGACTCTACTGGATGGAAGGCACCGCTATGAATAGCATAATCTCCATGCCGCTGGAAACCATCCCTTCCTTTCCTGGCTCTCTGGCTGCCCTAGTTGGAGCCACCTCCACTTCCTTGTACTGGCTCAGTATATTCGTTAGACTTAAGTTAAGAATGAATACAATAGTATACAGCCAGTGCAGTAAACCCTGACTGTTGTAAGAAAGCCATAATCATGTGCAAGTTACACCACAGACCACTTGTACATCCTACAAGCTGCTCTGTCAAAGCAACTGCCTGGATATTTGCATGCCCTGAATAATGGCACAAAAATAATAATTGTCTTTGACTTAATGTGGGCTTTGCACAGCAAAGCCTAGTTAGCCCAGGCACACGCATGCTGGTGGTGGAGTGCTGCGAGCGCGTGTCCTGTGACCACCTCGTGACTAAGCCACGTGCGCAGCGTGTGGCCTGGCAAAATTTTATGGACAATCGTAGATATGGCGTCTAATATGGAGACACGTTTTGCTGAGCTGTCTTTGTGCGAAGGAGCCTTCTTTGCGGTCGCAGTTTCGTAGTTTTGAGCATGGGTACGCCGATGGCGTGTGTGTGTGTGTGTGTGTGTGTGTGTGTGTGTGTGTGTGTGTGTGTGTGTGTGTGTGTGTGCGTATATGTGTGCATGTGTGTCTGTGTGTGCATGTGTGTCTGTGTGTCTGTCTGTCTGCGTGGGTGCGCGAGTGCCCGAGTTAGGCGTGCGGGTGCACTGGGAGGTGCTTGCGTGTTTACGGGTGCAGGGGCTAACTAATTTTGGAGGATCTTACCCTGCCTTACTAGTCTGGACTAAATCAATGATGAACAGGCTGAAAGTTGCTGCTTACCCTCCTGACCCGCATTACGATGAACTTACCAAGCATTTGGGGAAGAAAATTTGACCATTTGTCTTCTAGCACTTGTGGTATTGTGTCATTGATCCTGAATTCCTGATACTTTGCAGTAGCAAACTGAGTCAAATAGTGACTTTCACCTTAACTGTTGTTTTATCTAGTGATCGATGGCTCCACGTGCGATACAAGACATCAGAGAACCCCATCGCAAAACGGACGGTCTTGTACTGGCGTATTCTTGGAAACATCAGCGTATGCAATGCTGGCAAGGATGCAGCTAGGCGCAATCGAGGAATGTGGCCAATGCTACGTAGACTGGTTCTTACGCTGGAGGAAAGACTCTGGCGGATTTGTCTCTACTCAGGTACTCTTCAATGCCTTACATCACATTACAATATTACAGGTCGGAAGAATGCCCTCCAATGGGAGAACCAGGACCTCGTTAAATAGAGCTCTCCGATTTGCTTTTCAAACCATGTTGGCACCTCCACACCACCCTTCCGGAGCAAGGGTCTTGCATATTGCATTTAGCGTTAAGGTGTTGCACTTAAAGTCTTTGCGTATTGCGTTGCGCGCATTGTGTATTGGGCCCGGCTATATTGTGTATTGGGCCCGGCTATATTGTGTATTGGGCCCGGCTATATTGTGTATTGGGCCCGGCTATATTGTGTATTGGGCCCGGCTATATTGTGTATTGGGCCCGGCTATATTGTGTAGAATAAAGGCCTAACCACTTAGAAATGTACGGGATTTTCTTCCGCAGCAAGGAAAGGACTTGTGGGTGCACGTGTACGTCTATGTGTGTACTTGCGGCTGTGTGTGTGTATGTGCGGGCATGCATGCTTATGTGTGTGTGTGTGTGTGTGTGTGTGTATATGTGTGTGTGTGTGTGTGTGTGTGTGTGTGTGTGTATGTGTGTGTGTGTGTGTGTTGCATGACTGTTGCCTTGTAGGATACGGTACTAGTGACCCAAGCACTGACTGAGTATCATTGTTGTCACGTGGGTGAGCAGTTGCAGCAGAATTTGTCCATTACCCTCACATCACGTATGATGAATACTAACAAAACAGAAGCCAGACATCTCTCTATCAATGCATTCAACAAAGACTTGGAGCAACGTGTACTTGTAAGTAAATGTTACCTCGGGGAAAGGGCTTTTAAAATATAAACTCAGTATTTATGGATGCTGAGATTTACAAATGTGTCATGTGTATGCACGGCCTCGTGAGCAAGATATTTAGATGCTTTGTACTGGCATGTTGCTGCTTTCGATGGTCAAGGTGACCTGTCTCACCAATTATCACTGCACTGTGGAGTGTACATTTTCCAGCATATCTATAGTTTACTGTGTTATTTTACACCACACCGGGAATACACATTTAAATGGAAATGGCTTCAATGTGCAGCATGACATGATCCGATGTACAATGTTCTTGTAGGTCCGTCCTAATTTCAACAAGGGCCTATCCATTCGTGTGAATGCCAGTGGTGAAGGCAGGGCCACAGTTCAGGTAAGTTCCCACATACAATGCAGAGGCCAGCTACCGGTATCCTGAATGATTGAAACCGTGAAGGAATTGGCGTTCCTAGCATAGAAACACATTGTATCTGTGTACTCAGTCAGGGTCGGATAGAAGTTGCTAGATGACAATGCCCAAACCTAGTCTTCTCTTTATTGGTGTGTGCATTGCACTAGTGTACTGTGCTATATGGACTATGCGCTGTGTGATCGCCCCAACTCAACAATTTGTTTCTGTGAAGCCACTTCAGCATATACATATACTGTTATTATACGTACCACGTGTAGGTGTCCCTGTGGGTGGTACTATCCCTGTGGGTGGTACTATCCCTGTGGGTGGTACTATCCCTGTGGGTGGTACTATCCCTGTGGGTGGTACTATCCCTGTGGGTGGTACTATCCCTGTGGGTGGTACTATCCCTGTGGGTGGTACTATCCCTGTGGGTGGTACTATCCCTGTGGGTGGTACTATCCCTGTGGGTGGTACTATCCCTGTGGGTGGTACTATCCCTGTAGGTGGTACTATCCCTTTGGGTGGTACTATCCCTGTGGGTGGTACTATCCCTGTGGGTGGTACTATCCCTGTGGGTGGTACTATCCCTGTAGGTGGTACTATCCCTGTAGGTGGTACTATCCCTGTGGGTGGTACTATCCCTGTGGGTGGTACTATCCCTGTGGGTGGTACTATCCCTGTAGGTGGTACTATCCCTGTAGGTGGTACTATCCCTGTAGGTGGTACTATCCCTGTAGGTGGTACTATCCCTGTGGGTGGTACTATCCCTGTAGGTGGTACTACATGTATACCGGTCAACAGTACTTTGCGGCTCAGTCAAACTTGCCAATAACAATCTTGGTTGGTTGTAATGACAAATCCCGAATAAGAACATGTTGTCGGCCAAATACAATGCTAATTTGACCACTATGTACCCGAGGTCGACCTCTGTTCTAACATTGACCTAAAACATCACCCTTATTGCCAAGGGGCTAAGTGAGTCCACAAATTTTAGACGTGATCGTACAAGGCATATTACGAAATACCATGGTAACAGCCCATGGCAACCGCGGAGAGTATGGAATTTTGCACTCCACTGATATGGCAAGCTGAGAAAAGCACCAGGTGATATGCCATGGTCAAAATTCACTTTGGACATAGTTGCTAGCGCTCCAACCAGAGCATACCAACAAATTTTCCGAGAAAATTCTCGGCGAAAGCGCTTTTGGATAGCCATTTCTTGGGCCCTACCGGTAGGACGGCATGTAAACTATCATTAAATACACCCATTCTGTCTGTCCTGAAGAGCATCGGGGATGTGCCCATGTCAATTTCTACTTGTGTTCTACTTACTTTACTCTACAGTATTGTCTCAAGTACAATGTTATGCAACATGAGAAGACATGTAACTTCACGATTCACACTCGTCTGACACCCAGTGAAGCATGCAGCCAGAACGCACCAGGCACTCTAAAGCCAGAATCCTGCATGATTGTAATGGATGTTACAGTCAGGTAAGAGAAAAATAGGACGTGCAGGTGTGCGAGTGTATTTTTTAAAATGTGTGTGTGTCTGTGTGTCTGCATGCATATGCACCATACTATTGTCAGCTACTACTATAATAAGAAAAAGAACAGCTCGCATCTGTGAGTGAAAAGGTTCCCAGATGCATGTCTGTTTTCGGCTAAGTCAAAGGCTTCAGGAACAGGAACAATGATGTTGGTTTTCTTCCAATCTTGTTTGATAACGTCAGTCCATCTGATTGGTGGACATCCACGTGGCTTTTTTTAATATATTTAATGTTGGAGGCCATTTCCATGGCTTGGTGAGCTATGAGAGTAAAAAAAACCGTGTGTATCGAATTGGCCTCTTCGGTCGAAGTATTTCAGAGAAACGTGTGTATCCAGACCCCACTTTGTACTGGATTAATTATTTCACTATTACTGGACAGCTTTCTTGCTTGTAAGCTTTGCGTGCGTGAGCAGACTCCAGTTCATGTCCCCAGCCACATTACTTGTCACTGGTATCCAAACTTTAGGTTGTAATCAAATTATTTCATGCATTAAAACATCTTGTTGCAGCTTCGTTGCAAATGGTGAGCTGAACAGCACTGGGATGGTGATTGTGGAGATTACACTGCTCTCTGGCTTCACTGTGGATGTAAAAGACCTGCATGTAAGCTACTTGAGCACCCTGCAGCAGGCTTCGTATTGTGAATATCACTATCAATAGGAATTTGCTTCTGATCTGTGTCAGTCACCAACACCAGCATACATGTGCTTGAATACATCTGGGTTTTGTCAGATCATGAATTCAATTAGCATTCAGCGACCTCTGACTTCTTTGTTGTACATGCACTATTGGATTGTAGTCATAGTGATGGGGCAAGAGAATGGCATATTCGTAGATTCAAGTGGAATCCCAGGAGGGTCGAAATGAATATGGAGGAAAATTCGGGACCAAACAAAATGGTCCAAAAGCGAGGTTTCACACCACAGTACCCGAGTTTACTGAACACTGCTTAGGCCGGACTTAGGTCAGGCTTAGAGGCCATTTACATGAGAAAATAAGCCCAGGCTTATTCAACCCTAGGCTTACGATAAGCCCGCCTTGATCTGTCACCCAGTCATTTTAAAGCACGCGTTTACATGGTGAGGCGAGCTTATTCAGCTCGCCCGAGCTGAACTAGCCCTACCCTTGACCCCTGAGCTTATCTAAAAAACCCAGGGCTTATTTTGTCATGTAAACGGTCAAGAATATAAGCCCTGGGCTTATAAGCAAATTTTCCGTATTTTTCGATTTTGCCTCGTGAACCTGAGAGGATGTCGCCGTGGACAGTGCGTCTCTTGTTTCTTTTTTGGCATTTTTCTTCCGATTTTTCATTCAGTGGAAGGTCCTATCCGATCCTTCACCTTCTCAAAAAAATAAGTGACAATCGGAAAGGCAGTAGAAGTGTGAGCCGGCACTTCTCGATCCAAATTTCACCATACACGAACATTTACCTCTGCGTTCATGTGCGATTTGAAAAATAAAATGCACGCAGAACTCGCTGTCGCTCACCTGAACTCAGCCCCGTACAACCGTCATGTAAACGGTTGAAAAATACGCTCGAGGCGAATAAGCCTGGGCGTATTTTTTTCTCATCTAAACGGCCCCTCGGATCGGACGACTACCACCTACACTCTCGTATCTGTAGAGGTGACTCTCGAAGGCATATACAATGCTGTGTAGTTCAACTACAGCCACAATCCAACCTCCTTCTCTAATCCGGCACTCTCAATTTCCAAAAAGGATTGCTTTCAGTACTCAGCCATTTCCATTTCGTCTATCTTCAGGACCTTTCAATGGCAGCGAAATCCATGTGCATTCAGCTCGTTTATCCGGCACCTAGGCATGTGCAATGTACACATATACACAGGGCGTCAAAAGGCTTTTTTTTTGTTTTTGTTTGTTTTGGGTGATACGGTCAACCGTCTGAAGTATTCCTCTGGCGCTCCTCATGTTTTTTTGCTTCTTTCCTAAATTTGGCAAGTTGGGCTGTACGTGGGCCCTGGGTGAAAAACGGACACGGTCAATAGGTCGATACCATAGTGACCGTAGTGTGGCCACTGTCCCTGCGGCTGTACACTGCAAACAATGATTCAATCAAGTCAACTGTGTAATCAAGAGTGTGCATTTGTAGCAACAAAACAAAAAAGTGCATTGTGTGAGACTTGCAACTGTCAAATTGACACTGAAGCAAAGACCGCTTTAAAATTAAATGCCTGTTCTCTTCTCCTTGTGCAGCGCATTGTGGAGGAATATGGAAGAGTGAGGCGTGCTGAGCGACATGGCCAGACTGTGCTGATATACCTGACCAGTGTAAGCATGGCAGTTTGTTTTTAAACTGTGAACTTAATGCTGTAAGGAGTGGTCACGTGACCACAGGCATGGGCATGGCTAATCACTGTGTAAAAATGGCAAGTAGTATCAGTATACCCCCCCCCCTCTCTCCTCCCTGGTCGCACAACTCAAAATCCTACACCCTGCAATAATAATTTATTTGGAATACCATAATTATTGTATCGAAATGGTGTGTGTGTGCGTGTGTGTGCGTGTGTGTGCGTGTGTGTGCGCGTGTGTGCGCGTGCGTGCGTGTGTGTGCGTGCGTGTGTGTGTGTGTGTGCGTGTGCGTGTGTGTAGTTGAAAGCAGGTAAGGCGATGACAATATCACTACGACTATTCCGCACAGCTTTGCTGGGATTGCTTCAACCGGCAGCAATCAAGGTTTATGACTACTATAACCCCGGTAAGAAGAAAACGTGTTATCTGTTTTCCACAGCAGCTCAATGGTAAACTGAGGTGTTGCCTCAATAGCCTTACAATAGAAAGTAAACAGAGGAGCGTTGAAAATAGCAGGTTTGATTTGCGTGATAATTACAAGGATGAAAATGCTGTGCAACTACGAGTCTCTTCTTGTTGTAAGTAGCTCTGCCCCGTTGGGCGTCGATCACTTGATTGGACAGCCTGGAACCTTTCTGTTTATAACTACAGTCAGACCTCGCATAACCACACACATCCGTTTTCGACAAAAATATCCGGATAGGCGAGGGAACCGGATAATCGAACACACATACTGTATGTATGCATGGCATATGCTGTAAATCGGTAACCAATGATTTTCTTCCGGATGGCGTGGGATCCGGATAAAAGAGGACCGGATAAGCAAGGTCTGACTGTATATGGATCGTGTCTTTGTTCTTGAGTTGTTGTTATACCCGAGGACAGTATTCACAAGGTTGACGGTACATGGATATTGAATTGGTTGTTTTGTCTGTCTTTCCTTCTCTCCAGCTCCTCTCCCTCTTTGTCTCTGTCCGAATCTAATTTCTACCTGCTGTGCATTACCCATTCTTTCTGGTTCCGACAGGTATCTCCTGCCATAAGTTCTACAATTTGCCTACTCGCAATCCCATGCTCTCACTTCTATGTCATGACCAGGGCTGCCTATGCGGAGCAGGTAGGCTCAGTTGCATGTATTGTATTTGTTTAACCTTCACCGTCATGTCCATTTGGTATGTGTACTCCACCACATTAAGAAGACTGCCAGCAACTCTGGGCATAGCACATTTTGTTGGCTTTAACATGAAAAGCAAGCACCAAACTTCGTTGGTACTAATGGCTTCCTGCCCTTGGGCTGTCATCAGACGACTGCATAATGATTCAGTCAGTATAGTATTTATACAGATAGCTTCAGAAGGTGAGATGGGTAACTTAAAGGGGAACTGTCACCAAAAATGTTCTTTGTCTGATCTTGTAGTTCTTTGGCTCCTGATCACGATGGTGTTATTCGTTTTTCTCTGCGATGACTGGAAGTGGGTGAAAACTTGAAAAGAAGGTCCCCAAAATTGTCCCGAAGTACCGAGTGACGTCACGCCGGCTTGACCTCCACGCGTACATTCATCGTCAAAAACGAAGTCCAGCCCGTGTGCTTGTCGATCGAGCCAACTGTTCGATGTACGGTGCACGCTTGCCTTCTGAACTCGGACACTGATGTGTACGTTGTACACAATGAGAATGCCAAAAGGCAAAAGGGACAAAATAAACAAAAGTGGACAGTAGTTTGTCGCACTGGTACTTCCTCCACGAAGCTCCAGCTCTTTGTTTTATTTGTGATTACGAAGGAGTGGAAGGATGTTTGTTTGCTGTTAGTGTGACACACATACCTTGTACTTGAAAATTGTGTCGTTGTATCGAAGGTGGCGGTGTTGCCCACCCGGCTCTGAAATAAAAGACGTCGGAGTTTGTCATCTGCATCTTCAGCAACATCGCCAGATGAATCGCCTTCACGTACCTACATTGCGTTCCTTTCAGGCTCGGGTTGGTGGTGGTGTTATCGCCGGCCGGAGGAGCACTGTTTTCTGCATACGCACTCATCATCGTCTTGTTCCTCACACGAAAAGTTCAAAACAACGACGTACTTCCGTGCTCACAAAATAAAACTTAGATCCTCGCGGAAGAAGTCAAAAAGGTGAAAGCTCAGCTCCTTTTTACTTTGATTTGCACGTGGGTCTCTGCCTCTTTGGCATTCTCTTTCGGTACGACGTACCCATCTGTGTTACAGTTCAAAAGGCACACATGTGTAGCATGGCTACTTTATGACACGTAATTTGTATACACATAAATAGTACACCGTAGGAATGCATGGATAGGCTGTGCGCATACTCGCACTGCCTTGTCTTCTTCTTCTCCTTGTGAGACAATGAACGAATATTGATAACTACTTACGTAACAACAAGTATGTGCTTGAGTGCTGAGAGTATACGAGTTACAATGGTGGCAGCGGAAAAATAGTCGTCGGTTTTGTCCTCGGCTGGGAAGACGCCTCCGCAGGAGAGACAAGTTGCAGAGTCAACAAGTTCCAGAGAGTCTGAGACCAGTTCCAGCTACTCGGGAGACCAGCCCACAGACTAAGTTCTAATTTACTAGTATTGATCATTCTATCCTTCGTCTCGCTTTCCATTCTTTACTTCTTGACTGATCGTTCGCTGTGCATGAGTAACAGTTTTGTTGGGTGTAGAAAGGGCTACATTTTCACAAAAATATTTTGCGCACGTGAGTGTGCGTGCATACTTAGCAAGTACACTGTTGACGTCATGTCCTGTGCACGTGTACGTCCGTGTGACGTAACCAGAATGTTTTGTGTAGGTCAATTTTTTGTAACATTTTTCAAAAGTTTTTTTGAACTACATTGTACAAATGTTTGTAGCTTGGGCCATTGATAGTGAGATATCGAGATGGGCAAGTCCAAAGGCAGAAAGAAGACCAGGTCCCCTCGACCTCGTCCGTTCAAGATACCGTCTGACGAACATGCCAGTGCATCAGAGTTGCACCAGTCTAATGACACCGGAGTGCGTGATCCACTAGCTCAGGCGCTCGAGAAACTTGATCGCAGGTTGATCGACCTCGAAAAGAGACTGAGCTGTTTGGAAATTGTTGCTCCACGCACACAGGGTCCTGTAGGAGCAAGTTTCGAATTTGATCAGCCTCATAGTAGTAGCAGTGGTCGTGGACATTCGTATGGTCGTGGTGGTCAGGTGGAACCACCGATTTGTTTTGGTTGTGGGCAACCTGGCCATTTTGCTCTAGATTGCCCACACAACCCTTGGCGCTCGGGAAACTGAGTACGACTGGTGGTGTGGGACAACTCCCAGTCGTTCACGAGGAGCCATCAGATGCAGTACGTATCGAGGCTGTATCGTCAGTCCCTACGCTAGATCTCCATGTTCAAGGCAAGTGTGTAACGGCGTTAATTGACTCTGGTTCCTGTGTTTCTATGTTGCATGAGCAAACATTTTTGTCCACGTATGGTGATGTGCCCTTGCAAGCTGCTCCCCGTTTGTGTGCGGCTAATGGTGAGGGACTCCAGGTTCTGGGTGCTGTGGATATTGTATGCTGCATTGGAGAGCGTTCATTCTTGCATACATTTGTAGTGTCTCCTGATATCCGCCGTGATATGATATTGGGATCTGATTTCTTGTTTGACCATGGAGCATTATTGAACATTGCTCAAGGCACACTAACTTTTAATGATCTGTCAGTCCTGCTAGGCGTGAAAGCTACTAGTGTTGGTCCATCAGAGCCCCGTCCGGTTGTTGCGGCGGACGCTGAACCGCTATCTGACTCTTGGAGTAATGATAGTAATTCTGAGGAAGACCCGGGCACGTACTATTCCCGTGTCACTGTTTGTAGTAAATTAACTCTGCCTGCCAGCCATGTCGTGCTGGTCCCGTGCAAGTCGGTGCAAGAGGCATCCGTGACTGTGGATTGTGTTGCTGTTCCACTGGACTCATTCTTGTTCAAGTTTCCAGATGTGTCTGTGACCCCCAGTGTGGTTACGGTTGGACCTGGCAGGTCCGGTGCGGTAGTTGTGTTGGAGAATCACTCTGACTACCCAGTACAAATTGCTACAGATGTTGATATTGCAGAATTATCTCCTGTACCCGACAACTTGATTGGAGAGGATGTTGATCCTGCTGATTCATCTGTTGCGGATATGCAACCGTTTGTGCTATCCCCTGAACGTGCCAAGATAATCCGTACGTATGTTGAGTCTCGGAATCATCTGGCAGTACCTGAAAAGAACAGACTTACAGAGCTTCTCCGTGAGAATCATGACTTGTTTCTCTTGCAGGAGGGTGATTTTGGTCCTTGTGATGTTTTGCCACATAGTAGTAGTACTGGTGATATACAGCCAGTTAAGCAGCCTACGCGCGCTTTGCAAGCTTTGCTGGATGGTCTGTTGTCCCGTGGTATACTCACCGAGTCCATTAGACCCTGGGCGTCGCCCATAGTTCTCGTTCCCATGAAGGACGGATCTCTCCGGTTATGTATCGACTACCGCAAGTTGAACAGCATTGCGGAGCCAGATGCGTATCCTATCCCACGTGTTGACGCCATATTGGACTCACTCTCTGGCTGTTCATGGTTCACTTGCCTGGATTTAGCGTCAGGATATTGGCAGGTTCCTAAGCACGAGGACGATACGGCAAAGACTGCCGTTACGACACCGTTGGGTTTGTGTGATTTCTTGGTTATGTCTGGCTGTAGAAATGGTCCAGCGACGTTCCACCGTGTAATGGAAGCGGTGCTTCATGGTTTGTGTAGTGTGCCTAACCAACCATTCTGTCAAGTGTTTTTCAACAGTGTATTGAATGCCAGCGCTACCTTCACTGGACAGCTCCAGATCCTGCAGTCTGTATTTGGCCGGGTTCGTGCTGCTGGACTAAAGGTAAACTTGGAAAAATGTTCTTTTTTCCAACGGAAGGTGCTCTTCCTTGGCCATGAAGTTTCGGCTGAAGGTTTGGCTCCGGATCCCACCAGGGTTGAGGCTATTGTGAAGTGGGCCGTACCCCAGTCTGTACGAGGTGTACAGGTGTTTCTGGAGTACGCCGGGTTTTACCGCCGCTTCATCCGTGGTTTTGCTCAGCGCTCCGCTCCACTGAATGTATTAGCAGGCAAGGGTGCCAGCTTTACATGGACTAAGAGTAGTGATGCGGCGTTGACGGCTATGAAGCGGTCACTGACCACAGCCCCCGTGTTGGCGTATCCCGACTTTTCTGTTTCGTCTGGTGGCTTTATTTTGGACACTGACGCAAGCAAGGTGGCCATTGGAGCTGTCCTCAGCCAAATGCAAGATGGCGAGGAACGCCCCATTGCGTTCGGCAGCCGGGTCTTGACGAAGGCAGAGAGGAATTATGATGCCTCAGACCGGGAAACGCTTGCCCTTGTCCATTTCGCGAATCAGTTCCGGCACTATTTGCTTGGTCGGAATTTTATTGCCCACACAGATAACACTGCCCTCACCGCACTGATGTCCGTGAAGGAACCACGCGGTCGAAAAGCTCGACGGGTGGAGCAACTCGCTGAGTACACCTTCACTACTGTTCACCGACCGGGTCGGCAGTACTTGAATGCAGATGGTCTGTCGCGTTCCTTGTTGCCGGAGGTGCAACCCTCCCATCTCGAGACTCCCGCAAATCAGCCAGAGCAAGCTAGTTCCTCTGCCACAACTGCGTCTGTGGATGTCGCCACTTCTGTACTTGCTGGTCTCTCCGCAACTGAGTTGGCTGCTGCCAAAGCTGTGAATGTCGACCTCTCAGTGGTCAGTTTGCCCAGGTACAATGCGGTGAGTGGAAAATTTGTTCGCCCTCCCGAAGGTTTCTGGCACTAGTCGTACCATGCGTTTTTTCTCGGCTAATGCAGTTGGATCAGAAGGAACATTCGGTTCGCGTCTGATGCATCACGGTGCTTACTCTGCAAGCCCTCGACCATGACCCTACTTGTTGTCCGCTGTCGTCAGAGCCCATCTCGCTCGCAATGCTGGACTGCCTGCTCGGTTTACTGATTTTGCTATGTCCTGAGTTATTTTATTTTTTTATGTTTCTGTTTTCTTTTTCTATTCACGAGGGCGTGAATTTTTGGTAGGAGGAGGATAGTGTAGCATGGCTACTTTATGACACGTAATTTGTATATACATAAATAGTACACCGTAGGAATGCATGGATAGGCTGTGCGCATACTCGCACTGCCTTGTCTTCTTCTTCTCCTTGTGAGACAATGAACGAATATTGATAACTACTTACGTAACAACAAGTATGTGCTTGAGTGCTGAGAGTATACGAGTTACACATGCACCGTACATTGGAACAGCTAGCTCGATCGACCAGCACACGGGCTGAACTTCGTTTTTGACGCGGAATGTACGCGTGGAGGTCAAGTCCGGCGTGACGTCACTCGGTACTTCGGGACAATTTTGGGCACCTTCTTTTCAAGTTTTCACCCACTTCCAGCCATTGCAGAGAAAAACGGATCACACCATCGTGATCAGGAGCCAAAGAACTACAAGATAAGACAAAGAAAAATTTTGGTGACAGTTCCCCTTTAAGTGGAAAGATTGAGGGGGGGGGGGGGGAGAGAGAGAGAGGGTAGCATGCCTTGATCAAGCCTGTCTTGGACGATAAGCTCTTCTGATACCTCTCACTCATGCACGCGTACACCACATACAGAGGACCAAATGTTTCTTCTGGTACCAATGGAGAGTCTCAGGAAGAAGCCAATGAAGAGAAAACAAGAATGCGTACAATACACGCATGCGCGCTGCGTCGCAACCTGCGCAATCCGCACGCCGCCCGCGCGGACCCAGCGCACACAGAGCACATGTTCCAAAAGAGGAACGACCTCGCAGAGGACACGGACAACATTGTATGCTCTGAAGGCTGCTTTTGTCACGCGGAGGTTCTTCGTGATGTTAATGTCGTCACGGGTTTGAAATCGTGTACGAACTGCCTCTACGCTCCTCGCCACGCCACACAACAAAGGACTACTACAAATTGTTAGAGTACTTTTCTTCTACTTCATTTCAGTAGGCGACTTGGGAACTCATAAAGAAGAACCAACACTGACAACGAACGACTGACAACGAACGTCTGACTCTGACAACGAATGTCTGACGACTGACGACGACCGTCGGACAACTGACCACGAACGTCGGACAACTGACTCTGACAACGAACGTCTGACAACTCACGACTGACATGGCAAAAGGAAAACATGATATCAGAAATTGGTGCCCTCGTCAGCACAAAAGGTGGTGTACTCAGCACAAAAAGGTGCACTTGTCAACAACAAAGCAGCGCAGCAGCATGTACGGGTCAGCAACAAAGCAGCGCAGCAGCATGTACGGGTCAGCAGCACAGAGACACAAATACAGCAGCAGCTACGACGAAGAGACAACACGTGCAGCCACATGTACACACAGAGACACAAATACAGCAGCAGCTACGACGAAGAGATAACACGTGCAGGCGCAGGTACAACACTATCCCCTACCAAAAAAAGACATCCACTCCTGTGGATGGAAGCAAAAGTGAAGTGTATAAAAAACGGAAGAAGACAGACCGGAGAAGAAGACAGAAAGACAGGGGAAATGAAATATGAAGCAACATAAACAGGCGACAATAAAACACAAAAGAGGTGGGCCACAACTGTTGAACGCATGACGAGTAGGCCAGGAGGGTTAACACCAGTCGGGAGCCCCGCAAAACTGTGCACCAATCAACGGAACCTGCAAGCAACAGATTTTGCAAAGGACCCCGGCTGGCGAGCTGTTCGACCTGTGTTTGTCCCTTTGGATCTTTTATTCTTAGAACAGCACCAACCTAGTACGCCACCCATCCACCAGTCATGACAAAACAAAAGTACAAATGCATGAGAAAACAGGTTATGCCGACGGACCCAGCGACGCTTCCAGGAGCGGCGAGACCGACAGCACGCACCGGCCGAGAAGAAGACTGGGGCAGCAGGACGCACACTGGCCGGCTGTCCGAAAACCGATGGCACTACAGAAACTCCGAGAATCACAGGACACACACAGAAAGAGAGAAGGACTGACGCAAACATCTCAGCCATCACCAAAAATCAGAAAAGCACACGAAGGAAGGGAAGAACAGCCAGGAAGAACACGTCGACTGAAACAGGAGCAATTAATCAGTAAGGACACCATTGAGGGCACACAAACAAATCGGTTACCAATACGCAAAAGATAATGAAGAAAAACCACAGGGCGCTACCCTGAATAACCACAGGTCTCTAACCTGAAAAAAACCCACAGGGATTGAACCTGAAAAAACCACAGGGATTGAACCTGAAAAAAACCACAGGGATTGAACCTGAAAACCCACAGGGATCGAACCTGAATAACACGGAACTTATAGTACATCCGCTCATAAAACCGAAAAACCGAAGAAAAAAAACTGTCCGGCACCGACTGGGACGCACAAGGGCCAGCCAGCAACACACGGAAACCATAACACCCGCAAGGCAAACCGATACAAAAAAGCGCAGGATCCCTGCAGACCACCAAGCAGACCGTGGCTCACCATGATCAGACGCCCACCCAGGCGAACTAGAGAAACCCATATGCCGAAACACAATAATTACAAAACCATACGCTCACAAAAAAAATTCAACCTGGATCTAGAACGAGAACCCTACATGAAGTTCACACCTCCCACCAAACCGGAAGCCACCAACTTTCCTACTTTGCTGACAGTGCATGACCGAGCCTGACAACGTTCTACACAGAACACAGAGAAACTACTAGTAAAATGGTAGAAACACGAAACTAAACAATACGGAACGACTACATACGATGCAGCACATCGAGAACATTCAGGGGGACATCTAAACAAATCACGCGACACAATCTCAAGATCGGAGTAGTCCGACGGCAACTCCGTGACAAGCACAAGGGCACAACACAAGACGAGAGCAAAGCTACCCATGCTGAAGTCACGACGAACATGCAAACACAAGTTCCAGATTCGAACGAGTAGCGCACGAACAGAAGTAAAGTTTGAAATTTTCATACACAACAGTACAGTACAGGGTAGTCAGAGCGACACAACTAACACAACGGGGCGAACTTCCAACGAGCAGCAAGACTACACTACGAGTACACACTCGAACAACAAGGTTCCAGGGAATTCCTGCCGGGACCCGAGTCACCCGACGCAAAACAATTATTTGAAAATTCGAAATCGAATACAAGGTACGGCAACACATTACGCAGAGCAGACAATTACAAAGGCATGCTCACCTGAGTAGGAGCTCCGAGGATCTAGGAAAGGGTTGAACAGACGCAGCAAAGCGGAGCCATGGCGAGAACGCGAAGAGGAAAACGAAAAACACCGGCCGGAGAGCGACGAGCTTCAGGGTCGTGGGTTCGATAAGTTGGGCGCCAAATGTCGTCACGGGTTTGAAATCGTGTACGAACTGCCTCTACGCTCCTCGCCACGCCACACAACAAAGGACTACTACAAATTGTTAGAGTACTTTTCTTCTACTTCATTTCAGTAGGCGACTTGGGAACTCATAAAGAAGAACCAACACTGACAACGAACGACTGACAACGAACGTCTGACTCTGACAACGAATGTCTGACGACTGACGACGACCGTCGGACAACTGACCACGAACGTCGGACAACTGACTCTGACAACGAACGTCTGACAACTCACGACTGACATGGCAAAAGGAAAACATGATATCAGAAATTGGTGCCCTCGTCAGCACAAAAGGTGGTGTACTCAGCACAAAAAGGTGCACTTGTCAACAACAAAGCAGCGCAGCAGCATGTACGGGTCAGCAACAAAGCAGCGCAGCAGCATGTACGGGTCAGCAGCACAGAGACACAAATACAGCAGCAGCTACGACGAAGAGACAACACGTGCAGCCACATGTACACACAGAGACACAAATACAGCAGCAGCTACGACGAAGAGATAACACGTGCAGGCGCAGGTACAACATTAACCCTTTACCGGCAAGTGCATTTTGTATATGAAATCCATAACATTGATAACTCACAACGAGGGCACATTTTGTATGTGCAAGTTATGTTTTCTTGGAAGTCTGGTACTACTTCTTGACAATGGAAAAAATTATTTTCACATACCACACACATACGCTACAAAATTGGCACCAATACGTCTAAACACGGAAATTGTACACAATGCGAATCGTCAGATTCCGACATTGACATGAAACTGCCAAAACAAGTCGACTTCAGAGCGGAAACAAACGCCATAGCCATCACAGACTTCAGTGGCCGTGCCTCGCTCGCAATTGAGAGCAGCATCGCCCCAAAATCGCTGTCCGATGGCTCCGTAAGGTCGTGCGCAAGTCGCGCAGCGCTGCCGTCACTCAGGTACGTAGAAAGTCGATGGCCTAAAATTCCGTCTCTGGAAGACTTTCGACACGGGGATCACTTTCCATGGTTTCCACACCATAAGCACCATCAGATTCTTCCAGGTACATTACGACGACATCGTCTTCAGCGGCTGGAGCTCCCGATATTTGCGTGAGAATTTACTTGGCGTGCGCTCCGCTCCGCAATTTAAAATTCGCTTGCATCGGCGGCTGGAACGAAGTATTTATCTATCTGTCGTGGGTCCCAGAGCGAAGGTCTGCTAGGTCCTCGTCGGAGAAGTCATCTGAGGACGAAAGGAACTCACTGCGCAAGAGGAAATGCACCTGACGACGTTTTGACGGAGGCAGACGGCATTGTCGGCGCGCGTGTATTTCCGTAAATTTTCGATCGCGCAGTTCTCAATGAAATCAAATGGGACACGCGTAGATCTCTTCAGCTACGGATAGGATCATACCTAGGCTGTGTGAGGGCCACGGGAAATCCCCGTGGGCTGATGCTTCCTGTCATACCAGGCATGGTTTTAGTATGCATGTCGAATGCGTCGTTTGCGACGCATTCAAGTATGGGGCTGCCGGTAAAGGGTTAAGCTCGTCTTGGATCATATGGCTTGCTACCCTCCTAACAACGTTTTCAGTGCATGTTTTGTGCTGATGTGATTTGTGCTCAGTGCATGCTTTGTGTTGATGTGATTTGTGCCCAGGAGAGTGCAAGAGATGTCCACGTGCCGGAATATATTCAGTTGCAAGTACAGTGAAGGGTATGGCCCAGGTTGTCTGTCAGAATGACTATGGTGAGTGCCTACTGAATACTGTAAGACACATTAACCCACATGCATGCACCTGCCACCGCACACCCAGGTGTGCGTGCACACACCCGCTAGGCCTTGTGGCCAAGCATAATAGTATTATGTATACACACGCATGTATTCCACATTGCAATATGCTTGCAAAACTTGCACACCAAGCATAGAACCTAGTTGTGGGGGTTTGCCATTGTCACGGCCGCGCTTGGCGGGTTTGTGACTTGGCTTAGATCAGTCTAGTGGCTACCCAGGTAGACGACCAATATAGTCGCCATCCAAGTTGCTAGCTCACATAGAACGACAGGTTTCTAATTCCACTTGAACAGTGTTTATTTGAACCATTGCAGTACTAGATCGAAAGATCAAGTGTGTAGAGTCAAAAGACCAAAGCAGGAGAGAGTCGGAGTGACTCTCTCAGAATCGAGAGGAGTAGTGAGCTCCCCGAGAATCGAGAGGAGTAGTGAGCTCCCCGAGAATCGAGGATGAATGTTAGCAAAACAGCTCCTTATATATGCTACATTATGTGATCAAAAGTATACAGTGGCAAGAATGCGTAAGGATTATTTCTATATTACAAACAGTGGTGCAATATGTGCAATCAGCCAAACTAGAATATAGTACAAAGAATGATCAATCAATACGGCCGGGGAGCTCGCTCACCCACATTACATGAAAGGACTCCGAGGCTCTTCGTGCGACGGGGCCTGGAGTATGCTGTCGGAAGTTGCTGCAGCTAGAGCACGCCGCCTCCGTACGCTGCCTTGGTCGTTGGTCACCCTTCATCTCCTGCCCGTAGGCTCTTCCCTCTCATTACCCCGTAGGGTGCTTCACGGTCAAGCCGTGACCTCTCCCAAAAAGGGATAACGGAGTCCGCAGTGCGCGAAGCACTTGCAGGACCCTTTACGTCGTACGACGCGAGAAGAGGTGCCATGCTTGCTCGACTAACAAAGGTATCAGCTCCCTTGCAGGACTAAGCAGGGTCCCCTCAAGCTCAACAGTGTAGTGAGTACAATGCTGACGACTTGTACTGAAGGTGTAGCCGCCGTACGACAACACTTGCGACTCGAGGCCACGAGTTGTAAGCCATGATTGCTCAACTAACGAAAGTGCCAAATCCACGTAGGACTAATCATGGTTCTTACAGAACTCTAGGATATTTCGGAGCCCAGCTTTTGGCTGCTGAATCTCATTGCGTGGTCGCTTTCACGACGAGTCGAGTCCGGGCCATGACACCATTATCTTTTTTTCACATTTGTCACTCTTTGAAGAATTATCACCAATGATAGCAAATTGCCGTGTTAGCAAAAGCCATTGGCATTGGGCACAACAAGCCAATGCATGGCTCAAATTCGTATCGCCTCATAACGCGCACAGCACGGCAATTTGTAACAAGCACAATTGGCAAATAAGTCACCCGGCAACAGCAAACGGGTACATCGTTACAAACATGGTGCCCCGGCAAACTCAACGGGAACGCACCAATACAAACACGGCCCCGGCAACAGCAAACGGGTACGCCGTTACAAACATGGTGCCCCGGCAACAGCAAACGGGAACGCACCAGTACAAACACGGCCCCGACAACAGCAAACCGGTACGCTGTTACGAACGTGGTGTCCCGGCAACAGCAAACGGGAACGCACCAGTACAAACACGGCCCCGGCAACAGCAAACGGGTACGCCGTTACAAACATGGTGTCCCGGCAACAGCAAACGGGAACGCACCGATACAAGCTGGCCTGGCAACTTCAAACAGGCACAACTGACAAACTACGGTACCCAGCAACAGCAAATGGGTACACTGTTACAACACCAGTCCATCACATCAAGATGGCGGTGCCACAACATTGCAGCAGCAACACAGCAGACATGTATACGTGGCCCTCCCAAAAACAGACACGTGGAGGCCAAACGCATCCATCACACTGCTTATCAGGGCCGATTTGAGTGACAATGGCAAACCCCACCTAATGCTTATAGTTATATGATGGGATCTGTATACCGACTATCGTCACGGAATCAATAAATGTCAGCAGAGCATAACACTCACACTCACTTGCACTCACACCCTGTCACGTAGAGATGTCATGGCCGCGCTTCGGCGGGTTTGTGACTAGGCTTAGATCAGTCTAGTGGCTACCCAGGTAGACGACCAATATAGTCGCCATCCAAGTTGCTAGCTCACACCTGTTTTCCGGCTCACACAAGGTAGTCGAAGGTTGAAGGGGAGCGATCAAAGATACTTTTATTCGTTGGAAGAAGGCGGCTTTTATGTGATTTTGGTTATAGTATAATTGTGATATAATAATTAGTAGGAAATTATTAGTATAGCGTCGGGGAGCTCGCTCACCCACATTACATGATAGAGTTACTAATATGAGTGATCTTCCGAGGTTATTCGTACGTCGATCATGCGACGGAGCCTGGAGCACGCTGTCGGATGTTGCCGCAGCTAGAGCGCGCCGCCTTCGTACGGTGTCTTGATTGGGTCACCCTTCATCTTCTGCCCCGTAGGCTCTTCCCTCTCATTACCCCGTAGGGCGCTGCACGGTCAAGCCGCGACCTCTCCCAAAAAGGGGATAACGGAGTCCGCAGTGCGCGAAACACTTGCAGGACCCTTTACGTCGTACGACGCAAGAAGAGGTGCCATGCTTGCTCGACTAACAAAGGTATCAGCTCCCTTGCAGGACTAAGCAGGGTCCCCTCAAGCTCAACAGTGTAGTGAGTACAATGCTGACGACTTGTGCTGAAGGTGTAGCCGCCGTACGACAACACTTGTGACTCGAGGCCACGAGTTGTAAGCCATGATTGCTCAACTAACGAAAGTGCCAAATCCTTCGCGGGACTAATCATGGTTCTTACAGAACTCTAGAATATTTCGGAGCCCAGCTTTTGGCTGCTGAATCTCATTCATTACCAGCAATTATATGACATCCCACAGAGTCCGAAATTCCGTAAAATATTTGCGCATTTACTGCAGAGAGTGATCTTGGAAGGAAGAAAATTGCTCTGAACTATGGCCATGATCGAAATGTAAGGCATCAAACCAGTGAACCACGCCAACAAGACAAACAGTTACACAACGAAAAAAACGAAAGTGAAAAACATTGAACAACCGATGCGATCTCAACTCCTAAGAATCATGATTTTCTTCTCCACTGAAAAGTATCTGTTACCTTGGTGATCTTGAGGAAATAGCAAGAATTGACCTTCTTCATGGTCATTTCTGAAGCTTCCTCCAAATATTGTCAGCCAACAAACCACAGCATTGTCACCTGGCTAGTCTGATCTCTGTCCTCAAGAAGGACCAGTTCCAAAAGATTGCAGGTCCAGTGCGCTTTCTAGCTTCAAAGATCTGGGAAATCGCCTCATTCTGCACATTTCAAGCAGCTTCTCAATTGTTTCTGGCTTGACATTGAACAGCAAGAAGATGAAAAGCACTTCTTTCTCAGTTTTTTTCGAGTAAACTACCTCTCCAACCGCGTGGCTTTCTCTGAAGGCCATGTTGTAGGGGCTTTCCCATGGCCATGTGCTGGATGCATGCCATGTCGATGTACTGACATGATCTGATGCATGCTGTCATGTACAAGGACGTAGACAACTCAGTGACTACAGTCAGTACTCTGTACGACTCGTATGAGTCGTAGTCTAGAGTGACTGAGTCAGGGAGTCGAATTTTATGACTGCCTGTTGACAAATAGCAACTTGTTTGGTGTAAATTTCGTTTAGAGTGGCTGACAGCTTTGCCAGCTTGATACTTGGTTTCATTCTGCAGCTCACTGGTTTGAGAATACAGTGTTTTTTTGCGGCTTCTTCAACGGATATTGTGCACCATCATCAAGGTGGTTACCTATTTGTGATGCAGCTTCAACTAAAAGTACAACAACAAAAGCAACAGCCTACATTCAACAGCCACAGCCCATGACAACCAGAACAACAACAACAACGACTACAACAACAACAACACCAATTCTCGTTCCTCATATACTGGCACACACAGAGACATAGACAGCAATAGCGGCAACACACAAATTAAAGGGTAGTTGGCCGCAGCCAGATGTGACACTTGCGCAGCTAGTGGGGAAGCACTAGCCATCGGTATTCGGTATGAAAAGATAGAATCTTGCGGCCTACGTATATTGAATGCCTTGAAAAACGCGTCAACATGTTGAAGGTATGACCAGCATCAGCCAAGGACTGATGGTCAAAGCAAATACCAAAATACACTGCTATAAAAAAACACACGATCCTTGAAGGGTGGTGGCGTTCCTACAGATGCGGAAAACTCGGCCTTTAGCCGAGTTTGACGCGAACAGTGAAATATACAAGTAATAATAAACAGAACTACAAGGACACATTATGTCACCGTAATGTCGGCTGCGCAACCAGTCACTCATCTGACATAAGAATTTTTGAAGCAGCTAGTTGTCTGGAAACTGGGCATGCTTCCAGTTTGTGTCGGTACTTTCAAACTCTGGTTGCTGCAGGTGAAAAGAGATTCTCGCAAACCTATTAAAATGCACGGTTGCAGGCAGCGGTGTACAAGAATAAAAAGAAACGGAAAGAAATAACAAGGGTGCTTCAACGTTGACTGGGTTCGATCACTGAACACTAGACAAGAATGTTTGCAAAACAAAGGTAGAAGAACTGGTCGGCCTCAAATGCTACCTCAAGGACACACAGCGTATCCAAAAAGTAAAGAAAAAATGGAAAATGGTGAGCTGGAGGCGACTGTCGCCGACATCACTGAGCAGTGCAAATGGTATGGGCAGACAAAAACCAATAGGAGAAGACCTACACAGTACTGAAGGAGATGTCAAGCATGATGGCCAAACCTACAAGTGAACCTGAAGGAGAGGAGGATGTGGGTGATGCCATCTTGGCTACCCTGGCCAAAGATTTCTCTGAGCTACGGCAGCACATACCTGCACAGGAAAACCAGCAGAAGCATAACGGAGAGCCTCATCATATCGTTGGGAAACGGCAAC